TCACCCCGCATATTGTCACGCGTTGTTACATAGTGAAATTTAATTACAATGTCTCCTCTTTGTATTTGCTTCATGGTTCCCACGAATGCAAAAATAAAGTTCCCCGTGGCTGAGATTTTTATATGTGCATTTATTGTTACTATATTTTATAATATCTTAATAAAAAAATCTCAGTCAGTTATTCCATACAAAATTTCATACAAACTTTCTCAAAATGTATGGAAGACCTGATTTTTCTTGCGATTTGGAAGATAGATTTACAGTAAAAGTTGTTCATATTGACGCGTAGAATAGAAAGCACTATTTTGATTACACTATAGACATGATACACCTCCCCGTGTAGTGGCGGGTAAGAATACTCACTACCCCATATCTTCCCGTGGGTGTCGTAAAAGGCGACAGAGGGAACCTGAGACAGAAGATGGGCAGCAGCATCTTTCTGATAACAGCAAAACAACAATAAAAAACTGCGGTTGCCAACCCGCTCGCCAAGCGTGGCAACTATGGCAATATATCCCCCCATGAAAGTAACGAAGAGATGGCCCCCAGTCCCCGGCGGCTCCGCTGTTACTGGCTACGGTGGCGACCATGGTAACGGCGGGGCAGGGGGTGCTAAGAATCTCCGGTGGAGGTTCGGTTGCCACCTACGACGACTCGACCTGGCAACATACAACGCACGCACCCTGAGGACTGACGAGAAGGTCCTGGAGCTGGAAGAAGAGATAGACAAGTTGCGCTGGAATGTCATAGGATTATCCGAAGTCCGAAGAGAGAGGGAGGACACGGTAATTCTCGAATCCGGCAATTTGTTCTATCACCGTGAGGGCGACCATCTGTCCCAAGGAGGTGTCGGATTTATCGTCCACAAGTCTCTTGTTAACAACGTTGTAATGATTGGAAGTGTGTCGACGAGGGTTGCGTACCTTATACTCAGAATCACCAAACGGTATTCGCTGAAGGTTAAACAGGTTTACGCACCAACCTCGGTACACCCCGATAAGGAGGTGGAGGAAATGTATGAGGATATCTCTAGAGCCATGCATTCCTCCAAAACCCACTATTCGGTGTTAATGGGAGACTTCAACGAAAAACTAGGCATAAGAGAAAACGGTGAGCTGAAAGTAGGAATTTTCGGAATAGGGCAACGTAACCCAAGGGGCCAGCAGCTGGCCGACTTCATGGAGAAAGAGGGACTCTTTATGATGAACTCTTTCTTCCAGAAGCGGCCCTACAGGAAGTGGACCTGGTCGAGCCCCGACGGTTCGACAAAAAATGAGATTGATTTCATTATGACGACCAGACGACAACTGTTCAGTGATGTCTCAGTGATCGCGAGGGTGAAAACCGGCAGCGGTCACCGAATGGTGAGAGGCACACTGAAACTAAACGTTAAGTTGGAGAGGTCACGTCTAATGAAATCAACGCTCCGTCACCCTCGTGCTCTAATCCAAAGTCCCGAAACCTTTCAGCTCGAGCTACAAAACCGTTTTAAGTGCCTAGAAGATAGCAATGCAGTGGACGATATGAATGACAAGCTCATGGAAACTGTCCATGCGGTCGGAGCTAAATTTTGCAAGACTCGCCGCAGAAGAACACAAAAACACTCGGATCACACTCTTAATCTCATGGCTGTTAGACGGGACATGAAGCTGCAGTCTTCAGTAGATTTGACAGCATACAGGCAACTGAACAGACAGATCTCCAAATGCATGCGGCGGGACTTACGCAACTTTAATACTACTCGTATTAAATAAGCGATCGAGCGGATCCAGGGCTCCAAAGTCTTTGCTAGAGATCTGTCTGCCAGAAAGAGCCAACTGTCGAAGCTGAAGACCGAGTGGGGCAGCGTCGTTTCCGGGAGACCTGAGATTTTGAGTGAGATTGAGAGGTTCTATGGGCAGCTGTACACATCATCGTTGGAACCACACGCAAGTGTGAGTAACGATCCAAGAGCCAGTCTTATCCGACACTATTCCGATGATATCCCGGACGTCAGTCTGAGCGAGATTAGAATGGCTCTCCAACACCTTAAAAACGGCAAGGCCCCAGGCGAGGATGGAATTACAGCGGAACTTCTGAAAGCGGGTGGAAAACCGGTACTTGAAGTCCTTCAGAAGCTCTTTAATTCCGTCCTCCATGGTGGTACTACACCGGAAGCGTGGAGCAGAAGTGCGATGGTCTTATTCTTTAAGAAAGGTGACAACGCTCTCTTGAAAAACTACAGACCGATTTCCCTTTTGAGCCGCGTCTACTCTTCACCGCTGCATTGGAAGACGTTTTCAAGCTTCTGGACTAGAAAGGATACGGTATCAACATCAATGGCGAGTACATCACTCCTCTTCGATTTGCCGACTATATAGTCCTTATGGCAGAATCGCCGGAGGATCTAAGCTCTATGCTCAATGACCTCAATAGTGTTTCCCAACGGATAGGTCTTAAGATGAACATGGACAAAACAAAGATCATGTTTAATGTCCATGTCACACCTATGCCGGTAGTTGTTGGGAGCATTAAGCTCGAATTTGTTGACGAGTATGTTTACCTAGGACAAATAGTCCGACTAGGTCCAACTTCGACCGAGAGGTCAATCAACGGATTCAATTCGGCTGGACAGCGTTTGGGAAATTACGGCACATCTTCTCGTCGGGTATACCTCAAAACTTGAAAACAGGACTGTACAACCAGTGCGTGTTGCCAGTGATGACCTATGGTACTGAGACGTGGTCCTTCACTGCTGGCCGGATGAGGAAGCTCAAGGTCGCTCAGCGAGCTATGGAGAGGGCTATGCTCAGTTTCTCTGCGTGATAAACTTAGAAATGAGGATATCCGCTGTAGAACCAGAGTGACCGACATAGCCCAACGGATTAGTAAGCTGAAGTGGCAATGGACCGGCCATATAGCTCGAAGAACCGACAACCGTTGGGGAAAAAAGGTTCTAGAGTGGCGGCCTCGTACCGGCGGACGAAGTGTAGGGCGTCCCCCCACTAGATGGAATGACGACCTGGTAAGATATCCAGGAAGTCGATGGATGCAGGTGGCTCAGGACCGTGCTTTGTGGCATTCCTTGGGGGAGGCCTATGTTTAGCAGTGGACTTGTGAAGGGCTGTAATGATGATGATGATGACTACACCATATATATATATATAACTATTTTTTTAAATAATTGGTGAATATTAGTTAGACATGTAAATAAAAAAATTAAACAGGTAAAAAGGAGGCCTTATCATTTATATGTCATTTATTCAGAAGAAAAACCTATACATAATATACACAAATATATTGATACATTCGTTATTAATAAACTATTCATTTTTAAGTATTTCTGGAATACATAACCATGAACTTAACTACTAGGTCATAGCATAAAATAAATTTTCCCGTTAATCGGGTAATAGTTAAGCTGCTGGCATGTACAATTTTTCACGCACACTAGCATCTTGCAAATTGTCTTATACACACTACAATATTAAGATGCCGCATTCACGGAGCTGTTTATTCAGGTAGCGCGGTATCTAGTCAGAGCGCGCGATGACTTATCATTAATCTATAGGGTTTTACCTTATATTTATTAGCATCACCAGGTGGAGAATAACTGAAATGTTTTCCTAATAAATATTCAGCGTAGTTGTGCTATGTTTAGCTAGAGGGCGTCAACACGCGCGAGCTCAAAGTTTTTGTATGCAATTGTTTCCAATGTCCGCCCTATAGTGTGTATATATATATATATATTTAAATCTCTGTGGTGACAACCTTCAAACGTGGTGTTTCCCGGAAAATTTGATCCCAGTACTAACAATTGGAGTAAATATAAAGAACGTTTATTGTGTGCTCTGGAAGCCACGGATGCATGTGTGAATTTGTGTGAAATATGTAAAAAATAAATGTGGAAAGGAAACATATTCATTAATTGTTTCATTGTTGGTGCCTAGACGACCGACTTCTGTGACATTTAAAGACATTTTGGCAGTGCTTGACCAATTCTATGAACCTCGTGAATGAAATTTTACAAACTGATAAATTCCATAAACGTCAACAAAATCATAACGAAAGTATTCAGGACTTTATTGCGGCCATTGGCTCTCTAGGTTCCAGGTGTAATTTGATACTTAAAAAGGCAGCTACTGGACCGATTATTATTAAGAGTGTGTGAGAAGCGTTTCCGTCGCAGTTTGTTAAAGACGAAAGATCTTACTTATGAGTTAGCAGTGCAATTGAGCCTGAACTATCGAGGCACATTCTCAGATTTGTACCGGGAAACCAGTGTGCTAAAGCAAACTCCGTCCACAGCCGTAGTACCTATGGATATTGGTAAAATTAAAGCGATCACATGTCGTCATTGTGCATGGTCACACCGCGAGGGCGAAAGGTGTCCTTTTATAAAAGCAAAATGTTTTCATTGTAAGAAGTTTGGACATATTGCGCCGGCGTATATAAAGAAGAAATCTGGCAAGTTGCACTAAGTGAAGGAAAGTTCAACTGCTCAGATAATATTCGACCACCATTTAAAGCAGATGTTACTATCGAGGGTGTGAAGGTTAGCATGGAAGTGAATTCAGGTGATTCAAGGACAATTATGTCTGAAGATACATACTATAAACTGTGGTTTGTTCCCCCCACCTTTACAGGCGACAGGCGTGAAGTTGGTTACTTGGACCCGTGATGAACTGAAGGTGTTAGGCTGAGCTCATGTTCGAGTGTCATGAGGAAACAAGGAAGCACAATGTAAGCTACTGGTTGTTTCTGGTCGTGGGCCTAGCCTTTTAGGAAGAAACTGGTTTAAAATGTTGGGTTTAGAGATAGCTGGCATGTGCTGGATAGATGATAAGATTGATGAATCATAAAAGCCTTTCCGGAGTTATTTAAAGGGGGACTTGGAGAGTATAAGGGTCCTCAATTGTCCTTAAATATGCGAGCTGATGCCTTGCCACGGTTTATGAAGGCACGTCCCATACCGTTTCATCTGATAAAACAAGTTGAGGAACAATTAACATGCATGGTAAATGAAGGGCTTTACAGTGGTTAATATCCCTATAACCCCTGTAAAATACCCCAAATGGGCTACTCCATTAAGAATTGTAAAAAAAGATGACGGCTCGCTTCGAATTTGTGGTGACTACAGGACAACTGTTAATTTAGCCATAGAGACTGATACATTTCCATTACCAGCTGCTAATGATTACTTTGTGAAATTAAATGCTGGAAGAGTTTTTAGTAAGCTTCACTTAAAACAGGCTTACATGCAGATGAAAGTGGACAAGGACACAGCTATGTTGTTAACACTTAATACTCCGTTAGGGTTAATGAAGATGAACCGGTTAGCATTTGGAGTAAACGCAGCTCCTGGAATCTTCCAGCGTGTGATGTCGACTGCACTCGCAGGTATGGAAGGAGTAGCATGTCTATTGGATGATGTCGCTGTTAGTGGAAAGAATAAGGAGGAACATGATCAAAGACTACGGGCAGTCATGGTAAAATTAAATGCAATGGGATTTAGGTTAAATCTGAACAAATGTGTGTTTGCATCAAACCAGATAAGTTTTTTAGGATATATGATTGATGCAGAGGGACTGCACCCGTCACCTATTAAAGTGAAAGAGATAAAGGGGAAACCAGCACCTAAGAACAGAGAAGAACTACGGGCATTTTTAGTTTTATACAATTTTTATGAAAAACCCGCGAGCGACGGTATGGATAGATTGATAAAGAAGCTTTAGCGATAATTTTTGGGGTTAGAAAATTTCATGAATTTTTACTAGGAAGGAAGTTTTGTATCATTACAGATCATAAGCCACTAACCTGATTGTTTAATCCGAATAAACCTATTCCGGGTTAGATTTCACCCAGAATTTTGCGATGGTGTCTGAAATTGGTGTGTTATGAATATGACATAAAATACAGACCTGGAAAAGGCATTGGTAATGCAGATGCTCTCAGCCGATAGGCTTCTTTTAACACAGCTGAAGCGCGAGGGATGGATTAATTAGCGGATGTGCTACTTTTAGAGGAACCTCTCTCTGCATTAAACTTGGATGCAGCGAAAATTGCTGCTGAGATTAAAAAAGACCTGGTACTACAAAAGGTTTTCTTTCATGAGCTACATGGATGGACTGCCAAAAATACTGACCCCACACTTCAGCTGTATTATACGCGAAGAGAGGCTCTTTCACATAATAAAGAGTGTTTATTGTGGTGTAACTTGGTTGTAGTCATTATACCCGCTTTTTTATCACAGCACGTATTAAAGGTATTGCATGCACCGCATGCTGGAATCATCCAGACGAAAGCTTATGCTAGAGGATACGTATGGTGGGTCGATAATCGGTATGGACGCTCCGATAGAGGCCACGGCGACTGGTTGTGAGTTGTGACAAGCCGTGAGAAACAATCCACCAAGAGATCCGCACACATGGATTTTATCTGACAAGCCATGGAGTCGTGTCCATGTTGATTTTGCAAGACCATTTCAAGGGAAGACCTTTTTTGTAATGATTGACATCTATAGCAAATAGTTTTTAGGCAGATATATTATCAAATATGAGTAGTGAAGCTCTAATAGCAAGTTGGCGCAGGATTTTTGCTTCGCAGGGATTGCCAGAAAAATTAATTTCGGACAACGGCAGAGCCTTTAGCTCAAGGGAATTTAATAAATTCCTGCAAAACAACGGCATCGAGCACTTGTACTCACCCCCATATCACCCGGCGACGAATGGACAAATCGAACGGGCGATACAGACCTTCAAGAATAAGCCCAAGAAAAAGTCTGATGCAGGTGTATTGTGGACTGAGAAACTACCTAGGGTGTTATACTCGCTTAGAACGGTGCCGAATCACCTCGGTAAAACTCCTGCAGAGATGTTGAATGGACGTAAATATAGACCTGCGGTGTCGGCGCTACATCCGTACAGTGGACCAGAGCGCTCTGAGCGGCAGCTGGAAGAGGTGGCGCTGCGGGTGCCTGCCCGAGCCTTCCGCTCAAGCTGCCCGTGCTGGTACGTGCCTATGGGCCAGGAGAGAAGTGGCGACCGGCCACCATTGAGTATGTCGAGGGCCTGGTTGTTATAAGGTGAAAACGGAAGATGGACTGATAATTCGCCGAAATGTTGACCAAATACTGACGTAATCCACGGCCGTAACCGAGAACCAGACCTCTGATGCCCTTCCAATACCTCAATTATGTAGGAGAATCAAATTCGTCCTCTGGGTCTGACCCACCAATACGAATACCACCACCAGAAATGTGGCCTGAAATTATTGGCATTTAAATTTTTTTAGTACTGACTAAACTGTAATTACAAATTGGCAAGAAGCTGTGGTTTATTAGTGATTAGAAATAAATAATGAAAAACAATAATTAAAATGGTTTATTTTAACTTAGGCCCAAATTATGATTGTAACCGTGTTATTGGAATAAAAAGGTATTATGTTATGTATTGATAATGTTGAGGGTAAAATTGTAATATCTGTTTAAGGTAGATTTGATTAAATGAGTTTGTTTTGCAACTTAATCTGGTGTATCTTTTAGTATGAGCCAATGCATTCTGTTGATATTTTAGTTCGGATTCTATGCTTTACATATTGTCCTGAGGATAATATTTAACTCTTTGATTGATGACAAGCTTATTGTTTACAATTACAGTAACCAAATACAAAATAAATGAGATATGATGAGACACAGTAGATCGAGTGGCATAGCTGCAGCAGACGAACGAGCCAGGAGAGGATTGGCTTTGGCCGCTATAGGGCCAGAATTGATGATACCAATCCTTTTTTGTAACATTCACCTTACTGGTATGTAAAAATTTCACAATTTTTTTAAGATTCTTCTACAACTTCACTAAGATTTTTCACATGGCCCTTTTAACAGACATGGTACCGACTTTGTTATATGGCAGCGAAACCTGGGTATGCCAGAAGAAGCATAAAAGTAAGTTGAATGCAGTGGAGATGCGATCTCTTCGTAAAATGTGCGGCGTTACCATGGCCGACCGAAAGCAGGCAAAATATGGCAGGTTTGAAAGATGACCTTATCACAAAAATCGATAAGGGCGTGCTTCGGTGGTTTGGGCACGTTGAGCAAATGAGTGAAGACCGAATGGTGAAGAAAATATATAGCGCGAAAGTTAATATTAAAAGGTGTTGAGGTAGACCGAGACTAACTTTCGAAGACCATGTGAGCAAATTGCTCGAAGAGGGTAGGGTCAAAAGTACTCGGATACTTCGACGTGCATGCATGAAGAAGATAATGAATCTGAAAGAAGCGAAAGAGGTTTGTAAGGATCGTGACACTTGGCGATCTGTTCTCTCTGGCTACCCCGTCAGGGATTGTGCGTGAAGATAAGATAAGATAATTTATTTACCATAGGTGTTTCAGATAGAAACGGCCACCTAAGTTTTGCTGGCATGTCCGGAGGTTGCTGTATACCAGCACCAACATCTCGGCACGCCATTATTGCTTTCCAAATTTGCTCGAAACACCAAGACTGTTGAACTTCTTCGGGGAGATTTCATGGCTCAAATAATCATAATATGCTAGCCCACACGCAAAATACTTGCACTTAGACATGGAGTTAAGGAAAAAGTGAAAACAAAATAAGGACAATGTTTTTCACTTATTTTGTTATGATTGGATTCAGCGATACAGATATGTGTCATCATCACCATCTGTGGGGAGATGTGCTAAGAGGCTTATTGGTATCCCCATTGTACCAGCAGCACAATGGGGTTTATAAATGGACAAACTTGCAACAGTTTCAAAATCTATCTATCAGTTTCATAATCGACTTCCTAATATATAAAAATTAATGTTTATTTGTTCATTTTTTATGTGCTTCCACACCATTCATCAGATTGTGGAAAAAATCGCCGAAATTCAAAACAATATTTCCACAATTATTTCTTCTGCAGTATATTCCAATCTGTCGGGTAACAGCTAGTATTAAATATAATCAGTAATAATAATTAATAGGTATATCATCTAAATTTTAATATTGAAAAATGTTAAAAATGTGAAATAAAAAGACTATTTATTTATTGTTTTGTGTAAGGAGACGAAATCTAAATACTCTCTTTAACTGGTAATGAGGCTTTGTCATAATCAGCACAGTGACAATCTGCATTTTAGTACTTAATAAAAGATAAGTGTAAACCTATTCGCTACAGTATCTTCTTACATATATGTGAAATTTATACTTGTGGGTCACTCTTACTTTGATACATAAATAATAAAACTTATTTATACGCAACTAAAAACAATTTAAAAATTTTATATATCAAAACCTGTAAAAACATTATTTCATATAATAATGTTTAATCAGTCTAACAAAAACAAGATCGATCCACCATAAAATTTGGACTTCCAGATTGATTGCTGGTTTAGTACAGCTAACATTTTAACATTAAAATTTTATGTATATATAAACAATTTATTAAACCTAAAAAATTTGGTAGTAACCTAAATTTATTCACCACCCATTTAAAGAAATGATTAAAGATTATGGCAGCCAGTGAACTGAGTAATATTTGGCAACTTGCCCAATGGGCATCTCTATCATTTTTCAATTTGACACTTCAAATAAATAATTTACAATATATCAATATTTTATATCACATATTATTTTATATACTTATTGATGAAAAGATAAGGAACTCTAAAAATAAAGAGTATTTATATTTACCAAAACTATATTACATTGGTGTTGTGTTTGAACAAACACAAAAAATTGAATAAATTTGTAGACATTATAATGAACTAGTACTTTTAAAGTAATTTATTTAAACACATTTGCGATCGCTCAATTTGTATTTGGCGCATCGAATATCTTCGAAAAGTGTGACACACTTGTAGGTGAATGGACTGTGGTATAAATTTAGAAAATATACCAACGTTTATATTCTACAGAAATTTAACTTTAAAACACTTTCAGCAACAAAACGAAAAAAAAATGTAAAAGGCTAATTATTTTAAGATAATAAAAAACATACATTTAAATAAAGGACTGAAACATTTCCACTAAAGCACTCTCATAAACAGAATGATTAAGTTACAAGTAAAAACAAATTGATAAGAGAAGGAAACTAGATACAAATATAAACACACATTTACTTACGGCTTGAATACTAACAGCTGGAGAGGTAAGTGGCTGGAAAATCACTTAACGCAATATTACTATCATATTTCGTCCTCGATCATGGCTTAAATTTTCTTATTCTTATTACCAACCAATTTCTTAGTACGTTCCACAGACTAATATGATGGTGTTGGTGCGTTTTCACTTTTCATGTATAACAAAGAGCCACAGATTAATATGATCACAGAATACTTTTACTCCTAGCAGAGAATATGATTCACAGAACCATAGATAAATATATATGTAGCAAGCTAATACCACAGAACACTAATACCCTTAGGCGGGATATGATTATGATGCTAAAGAGCATAGATAACTATATATAGTCGGCGAATAAGTCGACGACGTATATAGAGGATTGACTAGATAAAGCATTCGAGTATTATTTTGAGATCGAAATAGGCGGGATTTTTTTTTTTGGAGTTTATGGCCTGGTATCTAGACCTTTAGGCCAAGTCTTAAGTATTTTTATTCGGTTTATTGTAATTTCCCTTAGAGTATTCAACTAACAGGAGACGCCATGCGCATAAAGTTCCAAACAAAAAAGTCTGTCACTTCTAGCGGGAGGCGAGGTAACGCACACTAAG